TTGCTGCTGAGCGGAGGAACACCAGAGTCTGTGGCCTGAACTTTAAACTGAAACGTTTTTAACTCCTCGAAGTTAAACGACTGCAGACTGATTATTTCTCCTGTCTCTGAGTTGATGTTCACCAATGTGGGAATTGAAAGAGATTTACTACTACTGTCTAAAATCGAGTAGCTCACCTGTCCATTGTTGCTGGTGTCTGCATCCATTGCAGTCACTGTTTTAATTACTGTTCCTACTTTACCGTTTTCTTTCACATAAACTTTTATCACTGGTTCTTGGAAATAAGGCATATTGTCATTAACATCAGATATGTGGACAGTAATGAAACTGACATTGGACAGATGAGGACTCCCTTCATCTGTAGCTGAAATAGTTATATTGTACTGTGGAGTGACCTCTCTATCGAGATGCCCATCAACCACCAAAGAAAAATAGTTTTTGTAATTTGTCTCCAACTTGAACGGGACTTTGTTCAAGATCTCACATTTAACTTCACCGTTTCTGCCACTGTCTCTGTCTAGAACTGATACGAGTGCAATAGCAGTTCCTGCACCAGCGTCCTCGTTCACTGTATTGAGCAGTGACGTCACAGTGATTTCCGGAGCGTTGTCATTTACGTCAATCACTTCCACCAGCACTTTACTATGAGCAGACATCGGAGGCTGGCCTTTGTCTCTCGCCTCTGCCCGGATTTCAAAAGCTCTTCTTTCCTCATAGTCGATTTTTCCTTTCACTGAAATGATCCCCGTGTCAGCGTCAATTTTGAAAACATCCAGAATGTGATCCTGATCCTTGCTACGAAGAGAATATACTATTTCACTGTTTGGACCTTCATCTGCGTCGGTTGCATTTAAGGTGAAGACTCCCGTGCCAATGGGGATATTTTCCAAAATTTTGATTTTGTATAGAATATTACTGAACATCGGTGCGTTATCATTATTGTCAAGTATATTTATTTCAATTTCTGATGTGCCTGAATTTGGTGGCGACCCTCCGTCTAATGCTGTTAACAGGAGCCGTAGGTGTGGCTTGTTCTCCCGGTCCAGAGCTTTCTGCAGCACTAACTCTGGAGATATACTCTCCCCTCTTTTGTGTGTCGCAAGACTGAAGTATTCATTCGGACTGAGCTTATACGCACTAACGCCATGTTTACCTACATCAGCATCACTTGCCTCCGATAACGCGAATCTGAACCCGGGCACTGTGTTCTCTGCAATGTCCAGCATCTGAGATTTTGTGTTAAATGATGGAGAGTGGTCATTCACATCTTTGATTTCTACCTCGACGCGGTAAAGCTTCAATGGGTTGTTAATCACAGCCTCTACGCTGACGGTGCATTTAGGTTCATCCGCGCACAGCTCCTCTCGGTCTATCCTGTCATTGACGTACAGAAATCCGGTCTTTAAATTCACATCGAAATATTTCCTCTTGGATCCGGTAACAATTTGAAACGAACGCGTCTCCAAATCCTGCACGTTGAGGTTTAGATCCTTGGCGATATTCCCGACATTAGTTCCAGGGTTTGCCTCCTCTGAAACGGAGTATGAGAGCTGCCCAGACGCCGATCCCCAGTAACAATCCAACAACAGCAGCACCAGATATGTAACAAAAGACCTCCTGATACTCGGCAGAGTCATAATTCCGTCCAAAATGAACCAAGCATACATCATCAACGGTGTTACTATTGTGGAGTGGGGAGATGTGACAAAATTTTAGCCATCGCTATATCGTCTTTCATATTTTAAAGAGAAAAAAATCACCACGCGTCCCGTCTCATTCCGAGTCTCTTTGTGACGAAAAGCTACAGCCCCTTCGTTTTCTTTTTTTTAACTCAGGGAGGAGCCATGACATTTCAGTGTTACGGTCTAAAGCGTCACCGTGTGGTAACTTTGTTTAACTGCGCGCATACAAAATACATATTCTCATTCAGAAATGTGGATCAACCACTGAACTATAAATGACACCGTGAGGTTTGGAATAGTTTGTTTTACATCAAAATGATGTCTCTATCAAATTAACAAAACAGCAACACATTTTAACAGATACATCTGACACAAACAAAACAGCATCTTTAAACTTTGTATTAAGCAAGTTATATTCATGAAAGAGAGAAAGTGCCTTTTCTCTTTGACTGCATGTGGAAGAGTTTGCTTGCCTGGGAATCTAAATATCCATGATGTAAATTAAAAGATTATATGGAGTTTAGGGATTTCAATAAATCAGTATATTCACAATCAAGTGACTCATCAACAATAGAATATTGAACAAACTGTTAAAGAATGAAGTTTGTGAAACGTGGCAAGCACATTTCTGACTTAGACAGGTCAGACGAACACTCACTTGACACATTTTGAGTGAACATTCATACACTCACATCTTTATATTCTCCACATGCAATTATACTGCAGAATCTAACATAACTGGCTTCTTAGGGGAGAAAACATATAGCTATCGGTCGTATGTGAAGAGGCAGATCACAGTAAGAAACTGACCAGCACCACGGACAGTGACATCTTTCTAATGCATTAGTTTGCAGCCAGAGAACACTGCAACAAGACATGTAGAGCAGGCCTGTATGACTGTAACGTGTGACTTCTAACCTCCTTAACTCTTCTAATGAAAGACTTTTGTTAAACAAGGTTATTTGTGTGATTCTACTTTCAACACAACAATGAGACATTGGCTCCAAATTTTCTTACCTTCTCTTTGGTGGGTAAAGTCTGAGTCCTGTTGTAAGTGTCTCCTCCATTTATACTGATCAGCTCCGCATCTACAGGCGGAAACGGTCCGGGGAAAACAACTACGTCACTCTTGAGCGTGTCTGAGCTGAAGCAGACGTCATACTGCTGAGTAGCTTTAGAGTAAGACCAGCTCCCGTCAGGGTGGGTGGTGAT